TGTCCTGTACAACCATTGGAATCATGTCTTTAGAGTGAATTGTATCTAACCAAAACATATACTTGAACATAGTTGACAATGTGCCGTTGGTGAAAATCTATAGGATAAAATGAATTGTATTTGATTCAATCAAGTATTTTGTGTTCCATATGAATATCATCAAATAATTTTTGCTTAGTTTTTTGACTTTGTGAATACATCGTGATATATCTATTTTCTAATAAATATTGAAATTTAATATATAAAATTTTATTGTATAAACATTACACATCATATATGTAATACTTTGTTTTCACATATAATGTGTTTAATATTTTATTTTATTGACATAGATAACAAAACAAAATTCAAAGTGAAGTAAATTTTAATGATGACATTGAAAAAAAACAAATTATAAATCAAAATATTATCATGTTAAATACATTGAAATTTTTGCATTTTTTCAGTTAGAATTAATTTTTAAATTTATATCTTTTTTATATAAAAAATAATATTCAGAAAATTAAATGATAGAAACTTTCAGTAGATTTTTAATCTCAAATCATAATTTATCAGTTTAATACAAAATTTATGTATTTGACTGGTCGTAATTTTCTATAATGGTTTGGACATTATAATTAATTTGTATCATCTATCAAAAGATCTACTAGTGTGTTAGGCTTTTAATCATCTTTAATTTGACTTTACAAAAACTCAAAATTGCTATCAATCATTATATGATTGTAATATACTTAATCAATCTAACTATTTTGCCAGCTGTTGACGACTTTAGGCTTCTAGCATGGTTTAGGTTTAGTCAAATTTTGGATAAGATGTGATGGTAAAGATGACTAAATGTGATAAGATTAAAAATATTAGTTCAAATTTTTAAAATTTGAGTTATTGAATATTTTTTATTGAGATTTGAAAACTAGATTAAAAAATTAAATCATGTTATAAATTTATTTTTATAAATTTTTAACATTTTTAAAATGTTTGAATCTTAGATTTCAAACATTTGAATTTTATTGATGTAGATTTAAATAAATTTAATATAAATATTTATTCATATGATTAATTTTCAAGGTTTATGGTTCAAATTCACTGCAATAAATTTGATAAAACTATAGAGATTTTTTGTGATTTTTTTCTATTAAAAATTTCTTTGAAAAAAAAATTTAGTTTCAAATCTATTATTGTAGCATATCACATTGATTAAATGAATAGTTAGGACAAATAATTTTCAAACAGGTACATAAGCATAGTAAATTTATTATTAAAATGATATTTAATAATTAATATATTATTTTGCAACATTTTCAATTTATTTTTTTTCATGTTTGAACATGATTATATTTTTTGAACTTTTAATTGTTACAAACTTTGCATTGTAACTTTTTTAGTATCATGAAGCTTATAATGAATACTTATGTATAACTTTGTATATAATCAAATGTTTGTAAATTCTCCTAAAACATTGTTTATGCAAAAAAAATTTATATTAACAAATTCTTTAAAAAAATATTAAATAAAATACTATGATTGTTTCAATTAGATTTCAAAAAAAAATATTTTATTGTCAAGATATAAATTTTTGATACACATTATTTTATCACCATTAAAACGTTATATATATTTAACATTAGAATTAAAAGCATTAAAAAAATCATTGTGGTTTTTATGATGAGACACAAACAAATGTTGTGCATATAAAAGAAATTCTTACACATCAAAAACAAAAAATACATGTTACAATTTATGAACATCAAGATGTTGTATTTAAAATTGAAGATGAGCCAATAGCCCCTATTAAAATATCATCTCATTGTATTGATAAAAGCTCGAACAAGAATAAAAATATGGCATGCTTTATTATTCTTGAAGATCATGATATTGAAACTTTATAGATTTAGTAAGATCTGATATATATGATCTCATTCATTCATTTTCAAATATTACAATTTTAAAATTGAAGATATAGGTAGCGGTAAGTCGATTCTTTAGGAAAAAAAATTAAACTCATAAATTGAATAGTTTATGAGATTGAGATCGAGATGTTAATTATAACAAAGAAACAAACCAACGTTGATAAACGCAAAAAAATAATTAAAATATGTATTCAACACTTGGATAAAATCATGATGATGATAATAAGTATGAATATTCACCATGAATTGAAGAAAAAACTATTATTAATTTTTATTAATAAGAGTAATTTATTCAATTTATTGTTTATGTATTGTGTATATAATCTTTAAAGTATTGTAATCTTGTGTATATAAAATTTTGGGAAGGTATAATTTTAAACAAATTTTAAAAAATTTTGATGGCAAATTTTAAGTTTAACATCACAAAGTTTGAACTTGATATTTTTTGAATTAAAAATATGTTATATTTTTTATGGTAAGACCGTGGACAGCCTTAAATATTTAATAGTGTGAACTCAATCAGATATTCATCTGGTTATGTACAAGATGAGCATGTCAACTCCGAGTAAGTTGGATTAAAAAATTATGTGAAGGAATTTCAAGTAACTCAAGAGTAATAAGGATGATATATTAAGGTCATAAAGTATCATATAAATGAAAATTCAAAGTATTATGATATTTTGTTTAATTACTATTAGACTATGTCAAATCTTTGTTAGACTAAGTTTCCATTCTTTACGAACAACATCTTGAAAACAAAAATAAAAAATTGAATATATGTATAGAAAGATGTAAGCATTTATTTAAGACGTTTTGTTCAAATATGCATATTTCAATCATTTACAAAAAATGCATATGAAGCATCAATCAAAAGAAGAAATAAAGCGTATTTTGGTTCAATAAATTTATTATTTAGATGAAATTGAAACATTTTGTTATTGTTCTTCATTGTTATTATTAGATTTCATTATATTCTGCAATAGAGCAAATAATGGTAGTAGAGTAAAGTACAAATTATGTTAGATAATACTTTATCAAAATGTATTCTGATCTAGTAAATAAAATTAGTCAAGATTGATAGTAAATTCACTTGAATTATATATTGATAGAAAATATTACTTGGAAAATTTGAAAATACACTATGCTATTATACAAATTTTGCATAAACAAGTTAACTAAACTTTTTGAAATTCTTTTAAACTCTACACAGAACTGTACTCTATTGGTTTTGGTTAGGACTTAATTACAATTCTAATATAAAAAGGGCCATATGTCTAATCCTTAAATAAGTCTTGCACCAATCTAAAATATATTAGAGCAATCGACCGTTCACTGTTATTTGCTTTGTCGCGTGCGGCAAGGCGTCGGCAGTCCGCAGTTCATAGCGCATGGATCGGGGTTGTGGCATCTGGACTCTGGAGAGCAATGGGTCACAGCAAAAATGAGACACAAAAAATCCTTTTTCGAACCGATACAATAGTGGGAAAATTCACTAAAATTGTATCTTGTCTCGAGTACAACGCTGAGGTATGTGCAGTCACGACATCAATGAAAACTCACGCGACGTCCATTTGCACGTAACGCATTCGGACTGTGGGGCTGCTGAACGAGCAAAACACATTGGCATTATTGGTATCGAAGGGTTCTTCTGCTCCTCATGCTCATCAGCGACATCTGCAATTACCGATCAATCGATTTGCGCAGGTGGAGGATATTACGCCGGCCAAGAAAAAGGCGCGACAGACGTCACTTGACATCATTGTCTACATGTTTTCCATTGAGAACAATAGTGAACTCGACAAGCTACTTTCCCGTGTGATTCATCATACTCGATCAGCCGGATTGGCAAGCGTTATTTCACCCGCTTCGTCCCATCTATACGCTACCATCAGCGGCGATTATTGATGGTCGTCTGCTACAGTCGGAATATCAATCGAAAATAAAACTAGTTCACATGTCTTTAACGAGCCAGCAGTCCGGCACGCTTACAAGGGATGGCGCTACTGATCGGAATGGGCGCATTCTCCGTAAATTTCTGTCATTTGAAATAATTCTTGCTTCGCTAAAAAATAATTACATTCAAGGACAATGTCTTATATAGCCTTAAATAAGACCCTTATTTAAGCTTCATTATTTATCAAATCTGAGAGACATTTGAATAAACTTATTAAATCCCGCTAATTTTTCCCTTAAAGTAATCATATTGGTAATAGAAAAGACAGCATAGGGAACCAAAACATGAATCAAGAAGTAGATTTGTGATCTTATGTGCTTAATCTCCTGACTACATATTCTTGTGTTAACTATGTTCTAGATTCTGTCTGCATGAACTCTAAATTTTTTTCTCGCATCTTTTAGACAATAAAAATATACAGTATATTTTCATATAATGTTTATTTTTGTATTACTTTTTTCAAAAAATCATGAATCTTATTCGAATCATCATTAAATTATTTACATGACTTACTATACATTTATAAATATTGGATTCTATAGATGCAATTCAAATGTTTAAGTTTGTGTTGAATTCTATACACATCTAGAAAATTCACATTTTTTTGAAAAATTTGTGTAAAAAATTTATGATGTAAGTTTGGACATTTGATTAGTTATGGAAAAAAAATATTAATTTCACATAAAAAATAGTAATGTTAAAAATTAAAATTTTCAATATTATAAAAAGACATGCGTAGACGTTTAAATAATTTGAAAAAGCTCTTGGATCAAAAAAAAATTAGTCTTAGAAATCAAACTTTGGGATATATAAAAGTCTGTTATACTTCAGATTCTAAAATTTTGGGCTGATTCTTATCAAAAAGTCCAAAAGATGATTTGAGATACTTGATTTATCTAAGATGAATTTTCATATTGAATCTTATCATGAACCTCCTGAACGTTGATAAATGATTCAAATTATCGGAAATTCCTTCTATGTTTTTTCTTTCCTTTTTGTAACAGCTCATTCTTTCATTATTTTTCATATTTAAAAAGGATATAAAGTCATAATCGATATATGTGTATATAATGATCACACATATTTTTACTTAGAGAAAAAAAACCTTCTCGCAACTCAGATTTCTATCACAGTGCCCTGAAACTTCGAGGCGATAACAGGAACAAAAAAAACTCTATATCGTGCATGTCCCAGGATAAGAAGATTACAAGCATGAACTTGCACGCATTTTCAATTGAGTTACTATTATGCGTTGTAGAGTATAAAATAATACACAGATGCCATGTTCAAACAAACGTCCAAGCGAACAGTGATCGTGACTTATTGGCACCAAGAAACGAGGGCAGGCTTCGATCATTAGTACCAACGATGTTGTCCGTACGGATGAACAAGGCAACAAATGAACTGTGGTTTGCTGGATCGGTGTGATACGATCCTTGTGTAATGCAAAGTGCACAGTTCGAAAGCACGACAACATGTCGAAGCTTTGGTCTGACAAGTAGAAACCTCCAAACCCTGCACGTTCGCTCATCCAGCACCTGTGGCTGCGGGGCAAGCCCCACGGGGAGCTCCATTCATTCTTAAGGTTGCCCAATGCCCGGGAACAGATCACTTGGCAAGCCTCGACCCTCACTGCTTGAGGCCACGATCCAACAACGAATTGGCCTCGGTGGTGAAGCCAAACGTCTGAGAATGACAGCATGAGGTCGCTGTAAGTTGGTTTGAGAGCAAGAGAGAGACATGATTATGCCACAGACTTTCGGGCACACAGATTGATGATTTGCAGAATGTTTCACTTTGGAGACGGCCAGAATTTGACAGGCTCGGCGGATGACGGCTTGTCGCCGAGGTCCTCGGAGACCATTGAACGAACACCAGCTGATGATGCTAATGGCTGTGAACGAGACTCTGCGACGAGCCTCGCTCACTCCATGGACCACCATTAGGTTAGTTGGATGGAGGAGTAGGTCACGACAGCTCGAGCTGTCACCGAGAGAGGATAACGTATGATGAGAGTGCTAAAATGGGACCGGTCAGACCCTTTGGCCTATTTGGAAGAGAATCATCATAATCCTGCGACTAAAAGTCGATCTGGGTCAAATTGCAATTGTGGAGGTTCTTCTCTAGCTATCGAGAAGCATCTTCTTCGTCCTACAGTCTCAGACTCTGAGTTCTGATCTTGTCCTATTAACGAAGTCCTCGTTGTACAATTGGCTCATCAGGAGGTGTGGATTTCCACTGCAGCTTCAGCGGCTCAGCCCAGCTGCCCGCTCGCTTGCTGCACCGAACAGACGGGATATCTTGCTGTCTGGACGAGTACAACTTTGAGATATGATCATCACACAACGCGTCAGTTTAAATTAGCTGCTTGTAGTGACGTGAACCCAATCCAACCAACCCCGGTGATTCAATCATGATGAACTTGGAGATGCTGATGGCTAGCAGCGCCCGCAGGAAAACCTCTAACTTCTCGAAGAGAATTGCTAGCCGGATGCCTAGACAACAGAAGCCACCTGAAAGGTTGGTAAATCTGTTTCGTCTATGGAGCTTTTCAGCACCCCTCACAGCCCATGCTCCCTTCACCATTACTACATTCTAGCCATATCCTAGCCAGGATAGCTACCAACCAACCTTACCAGAAGTTCAGAATTCCAGACCCAGGCCAGGCCCAGTGTGCGAGTTATAACTCCTTAGTAATAGTAAAAGGATATTCTGTCCCTAATATCTTTCTGTCCATTGACATCTCCATAACTGCTCTGTTAGGCATCAAAGTCTACAGCAGCCCCTTATCCCACCCCTGCACTGTGAAGTGGACCGGAGCCCTTCACTGTAAAGTGCTCAGTCTCCCTCTCGTTTCCAAAGCATAGGGAATGGACTCTGCGTCGGTTTAGCACGTCCGTTAACAGAACGCGAGATTAAGAAGGTGGGCGACACGCACAGAGGAGGAGGATATTCATGCATGTCGAGGAGACGGAGAGAGGTGCTGGTTGGTGAACTAGGAACCAGGTTGGGACCGTGGGTATGATGCATTTGCAGGTAAGATCGTACCGGTAATCGCAGAACTGCAGAGGCTTCAGACTCTCCATGTGAGAATCTGCAATTCTCAGAGGTGCTGTTAGCAGAGTAATTGCAAGCATCATTACCCGTAGACTCTATCGCATCGTCTGTAGTACTGTACTCCGGCCAGTCAGTGTCATCTTGCAGTATAAACTGTTTCCACGCAACGGTCGATCATCGATGAGTCCTTCTCCTGTGGTCATAGTCTCCATCCATACATCAAGCAGCAGCATCCATGAGGCACCAACAACTGGTGCATGCATGCGGACTGAGTGGTGGTATCGTGTCGGCCCTTCCCCCATCAGTCCACTAGTCGTCATGCCATGCCACATCATTTCAATGACAATGTTCAGTCCACTCTTGAGATCAGTCTAACTTGAACCAAGAACGAAAACCTCATCTCAATTTCGTTGTGGCACCTACAAACATGCAATTATACCTCATTACCAACCAGATCTGCGAGATTCCATCGTGAGGAGGAAGTCGTCGTGGACGAAGACCCCTCTTCACTTCCGTCCTCGCACCCACTGCATCCACATCGGACAAACTAGGAGAAGCATAATTTGACTGGGATCACGAAAAGCAACAAATACATTAGACACTAAACCTTACCTTCTTGACATCCAATAACCGGTCTCGACTCCATCTGCTATATTGAAGCAAAAGTGATGTGATTCATTGATACGTAAAAAAAAAGTTCACGAACATTAGGTTGATCGAAATTTATAGTCAAATTATAATCAGGGCTTAACCACTCTGGAAGAAAAGTCCTCCGAAGAACATGCGGAAGAAACGTACTTTCTTGCACGTCCCCATAATTCTTTACGAGCTGTTTGATCCTGTCCAAATCATCATGTTTTTTTAAGGTGTGTGTACATTGTCACATATTCGAGTTGAAAACCGGGATCGACCCCGCATGTTGACCATTTTAACAACAACATGCGCACTCTGTTGCCCACGACACGGAACGAAGCCTCACTTTCCTGTGTACTGTACGCGGCATCCATACCCTCTTCAGATGACCGTGACCTTTGGATGTACATTCAGCGTACGTATACACCGCACCATACCCTCGATGTAAAGCATCCAACTAATAAATGTCTGAATCCACATATTGTTCCTTTGTGTCAAGAGCTTTATTGGTAACCGATCTGCCCTTTTTAGCAACAAGATAAAGCATCTTAGGCAGATCAAAGTACAAGCGTTGAAATTCGGCAAACGAATTCGTTGCCTACGGAACTGTGAAGGCAACACCTGTTCATCCGTGACCACGAGTCCGACCAGAACAAAATTGGACGATTCGATATGGCCTCTATGCAGTAATACAGGTGTAAGAGAGCTCGACTGCAGAGCTGCGAAGGACGGGGGATCCTTTCGCGTTTGATAAAACTTGGCATAGGCTGGGAGAACGTGTTAGGTGACCGGGCCGAGAAAAGCTTAAACCTTCAATCATTCGGTGGCGGATGAGTGAATCATGTCGCCGTTGAACATTCTGGCCAAGGGTGATTTCGGAGACATAGATTTGCTGAGTCTAGCTAGAGAACGCGAGAAGATGACAACGAGACTTCAGACGATGCAAAATAGCAACATCCGTGTCCGCTCTTGATCTTACAAACACTTATTAGAGGCTAATATAGGGTTTGAATGGCTGCCAGGAAGCATGCATGCATGCATGCTTATGCATGGTTCGTTGAGCTCCGATTCGAGCTACTTTGTCACCTACGAAGTAAATCGCTTGCTTTTGTAGGCACTCTCTGCCGAACCACGTCAACCGTGCTCAGCTTTTCCGGGGCTCTTGAGCCCACCTAGCCCAGGAAAAGCTTGTCCTATCCCTGCCACCAATTTTGCTTGAAACTAGTACTCGTCCGCTTATTATAATGATAATCCTCCTGACTTCTAATGTTGTGCTGCTTATGTTATGACGTCTGATGCCAATCAGGTAATGTGCAAATGTGAAAAAAAACCACAATATTTCATTGAATTTCCGAAATTCCAAAAATATCGCTAAAATGTTCTCAATTTGTACAAATCATGGACTGGCGGGATTCCTAAGTAATCATTGAATTTGAAACCAGTCTAAGAGCGAATCCAAGCAGACAAGACATGGATAATTCTAGGTGACAATAAGTGCTACATGTTATATGATACGATATAAAATATATGTTAATGTTGGATTGCGCTTCTTTCAATAGTACTCTTTGAAGAATCATGCATAATAAGCAATACTAATCAATTATCTCTACGATTTTCTGCTATCAGTCGACTTACTGAAAGTAACTGTAATGGGATTTTCAACTCGACAAATTTCAAGCCTCGGTGCCACTCCCAAAAAAAAGATGCTCAATGATTATGGATGAATGCAACTAATCCTTAATCACGACACTGCTACGGAATCCTTTCTAGGATCGAACCCTCCATAGATCCACCTACCATGTAATTTGCACTTGTAAAAAATGACCTTCTTGATCATGTCAGATTTAGAGAGTATGTTCAAAGAATGTAGATAAAGTCCAAAGCTAAGATTCCATCTTAGCGTTTGGACCAATAAAAACAAAATGCATTAGAAGATTATCTTACTGGTTTCCCTACTCATCACTACAGTATATATTTGAACACAAAACCCCTTCTTTGTTACACCCACAACTACATAGAATAAGCCTTGATGTGATAACGTTATTGGACCAGTAATAATGACTCAAGAAGTTGGTCATCTATAAGATATAGGTGACACATCGATTTATTTATATTGTTCTTTGCAAGTTTGATGAAATACTTCCATCAAATTTGCATCTTATATCTTATCCTACATGTCATATCTGTCATCTCTTCTAAAAGTGTGTCAAATTATCTATCTATCACTTATTCATTGTCGTTTTCATATTCTTTAGAGTATATAAATCTTATGTACCTTCATGCCAATGGTGATTGTGTCCCATATGCAATGTAAATATTATGAATTATAATTAAGGTTGAATATCCAAACAATATATTCAATATCTTAATATGAAGGCGATAGACTACAAGTGTTTTAGCGATTTATGCTGTATTTTTTATCACATTGTTTACTGCAAATTGTGAGATTTATGCATCAAAAGTAATGTAAGTACTATAGTTGAAAGGTTGAAGCTTAAAAAAAGTTATGAGTGTCATGTAATACCAATCTTCAGATTTCCTAATATCTGAATATGGCAAGTTGAACTAAAAAATACAACTGTTATTACTGTTTTTCCAAATTATTTATCTAATAATATGTAACACTTTTTTCATATGTTTCTGTATTTCAGTTCACATATAATTCTCATGTCATTCAACAAATTTGCATCAAAATCAGAAAAAATATTTCAATCAGATATCTGATAATATCAAACTTTGCCAATTTTCATGTTTAAATTGATAATAAATGTGACAAGTTTTGAACAAAGTCACTTGATAAATCACGATATAAATATTTAAAATATTCTATTGTATCGCCAAAAAGTTAAATAAATGAAATTTTTTTATTTTATGTGAGTAATAGTCATATTTTTATCCGTGTGAAAGATCAATAGCACATTTATTATGGAAAAAAATTCATTAAAATGTAACAAAATGAAAGATATTTCAAAGTTAATAATCTTTCAAAAAAAAAATATCATCTTTACAAATAAAAAATTTTGGCAACCAATTATTTTCTATGAAGTAATGCTTGATTGTTTATTGTTTCATAATTTTTAAAAATACGAGAATTATGAAATTGAAATATTTTTTATAATACATAATTATTATACTTTTATCTGATTTTTCTTAATAAAATAACTTTAAACTACTAACATTTTTTCTAAATCTGCTTCTTTTGCTACTAAGTATGTAGTATATCATAAAATGTCTTACGCATGGTCATGAAGCTTGTTTTATCAAAAATTTGAATTGTTCTACTCGGATAATCTATCTCGCAAACTGAGAAGATACTTTCATATGTATACTAAATATTTACTTCTGAGTGTGATTATTTAGATATGAATTGTGCGGAATCGATGTGCTTGTATAGCGAATGCATGAAGTTATAATAATTATCTTTGATATGACATAGAACTTAGATGTCGAACATGAAGCAAGTATCAAATCATTTTGAAGTGAAATCAAGTTTAAAGATATATTTCAAATGTGTGGAATTAGTATATCACTCATATCTTTTGTATTCATGAAAAAAATAAATTTACAT